AAAAAAAAAAAAGTACAAACATCCAATTATAAAATAAGTAAGTCCTTGGGGTGTAATGTATAGCATGGTAATGACAGTTAATAATACTGTATCACATATTTGGAAGTTGCTGAGTAGATCTTAAAAGTTCCCATCACATGAAAAAATTTTAGAACTATTTATGGTGATGGATACCAACTAGACTTATTCTGGTTGATCTTTTCACAACATATACAAATATAAAATCATGATTTTGTACACCTAAAATTAATGTAATATGCCAATTACATCCCATAAAATATAATAAAATTTAATTAAAAAAAAACTCAAAGATTCATTATTCATACATTAAAGATAGAGGATATATTTTGAAAACTTGAAATTATAAAATGGACAAATTCCTTGAAAAATATGCAATTTGCCAGACTAATTATAGAATAAAAAATCAGAATAACCATGTATCTGTTAAAGAAGTTGAATGTGTAGAATTTCAGGTGTAATTTAAAACTGTACCATAAGGAGAACTCCAGGATTTCCAATCTCCAAGTAGGATAGAGACGGCTAGAACATAACAAGAAGCCAGATAATTTAAAAAGTCATACATTTTCATGAATCCTTCAGGAAGCTGAAATTACAGGGGAAATGAGAGAAAAACCACCACAGCAAATCTCTAATGCAGGAGGACAGGAAATTGCCCTGGGCCCAAACATCATGGGGAGGGACAGAAACACTTAGCCCACTCTGAGACCCAGAACACAGGCCTTGCTCAAAATGGGCTGGATATGGACAACAGAAGCTAACCCCTTCCCACCCCCACACAGATAGTACTGAGCACTGAATAACAGTCTACCATTGGATAAAAGCAAGTTTACTCAGAGAGTCTCTGAGGTTCAGGGACAAAGAGAAGGCCTAAAACTGAGGATAGGGCAGAAATTGAGAAAACCAGCCCCACCCTAAGCACAGATAATGCCAAAGGGATTCAAAGCTGGTAACAGCAAAAACAAAACCCAAACCTATAGCTCAACTACTTGGTGAACTGACTTAATCCCCCTCACTAAAGGCCTGGTAGATGGAGATGTATATGTATTTCTGGACATAAATACTATTTATCTCAGTCTCTACTATGCAGCACACAATATCCAGCTTTCAAATACAAATGATAAATTGCACAAAAGAGAAGTAAAAAGAGAAAGAGAAGGAAAGAAAGTAATTGACTAGAGAAGATTTACAGTACGGTTCAGAGACTGACCCAATATTGAAACATTGGGGAATTTTAAAAAATTATGATTGTTAAAAGCTATAGTGGTAAAGGTGGAAACTATACATGAATAGATGGAGAAGTTCAACAAAGAAATGGAAACTACAAAAAAGAAATGCTAGAATTAAATCCATAGTAACTGAGATGAAGAATACCTTTGTTATCAGTAAACTCAACACAGCTAAGAGGAAAAAAATCTGTGAACTTGAGATAAATCAATAGAAAGTACCTAAACCAAAATACAAAGAGAAAAATGAAAAACAAAACACCAGTACAGAGCATCAAAGCTGGGTCTGTATCATGTGTAAAAGTTAAAAACATGACAACAGTAACACAAAAGATGAGAGGTAGAAATTGGAAGTATAGTATTATAAAGTTCTTAAATTGTATGTGATTCATTATAATAAATGCTTGAAAGTAGACTGTGGTTAATTAAAAATGTGTACGGTAAACTTCAGGGCAAGGGTCAGCAAAGTATGACCAGAGAATCAAATCCAACTTGCTGTCTTTATTTATAAGTAAAATTTTATTGAAACAACTATGCCCATTCATCTACATATTAGTTATGTCTGCTTTCATGCTACAGTGTCGGTGTTGAGTATTTTTGCAACACAGCCCATATGGCCTACAAAGCCTAAAGTATTTCCTAACTTGCTGTTTATAGAAAAAGTTGCCAATACCTGTTTTAGAGCAACTACTAGATAAATGTTACTGAAGTAGGAAATCTAAAAAAATACTCAATTAATCCAAATTAGGCCAAAAAAAGAGGAAGGAAGGAATACAAACTGATTGGAAAAATAGCAAGAACAAAAAAACAAGAGTGTAGATTTTAATTCAACCATATCACTGATTACATTAAATATAAATGAGTTAATTAGCCAATTAAAACACAGAGATTGTCATAGTACATAAAAAAGAAAGAGAACAAACTGTGATATCTACATCAAATTGACTTTAAATACAAAGATATAGATTAAAAGGATGGAAAAATGTATACCATGCAAACTCTATAAGGAATAAAGTATAAGATAAAGAGGGACATTAACTAAGGGTAAAAAGACCAATTCTCTCTCTCTCTCTCTCTCTCTCTCTCACACACACACACACACACACATCCTAAATGTATGTGCTCTAAAAACTTATAGTACTGAAATAAATACAGAAATTTGCAATTGTAGTTGGAGACTTAACACTTCTCTTTAAGTTATCTATAGAACACATAGAAAACCAGTAAGGATATAAGGACAGGACCACCACTACCAAAAATCTTGATTTAATGGACTCTTGTGTAGCATTACTGTCAACAATAACAGAATACCCATTTTTTCCAATGCGCATGGAACATTCATCCAGGGAAACTATATTCTGATCCAAAAAACAAACTTTAACAAATATAAAATAATTAAAATCATACAGAGTATGTTTTTTGGCCATACTAGAATTAAAACAGACATCAAAAACAGAGAGAAATCTGGAAAAATACCCAATTATTTTAGAAATTAAACATTTCTAAATTAATGTTTACAGCAGAGGTAACAAAGGAACTTGGGAAATATTAATTGGGTGCAAATGAAAAATACAATATTAAAATCTATGGTATGTATCTAAAGCAGTGCTTAGAGGGAAATTTATAGCATTAATATTCATATTAGAAAAGAAGAAAATCATAATAGCTTAAGCCTCCATCTTATGAAACTAGAAAAATAAGAGTCAATTAAACCTAAAGTAGAAGGAATGAAGAGAAGCAAAGACTCTGAAAACAGCAAAACAATAGAGACAATTGAAACCCAAAACTGATTCTACTAAAAGACAGTAAAGTTGATCAACTCTAACCAGACTGACCAAGAAAAAGAGAGAAAACACTAATTGCAAATATCAAGAATGAAAACTGCCTTATTGCAGACCTTCTGGAACCTTATTTTACATTGTTTTCTTTTAACTTTTTCTTATTTTTGCTGATTTCATCAGGTTGCTATTAGTCCATGCATGTCTCAAAGAGGAAAAAAATTAAAATTTAACAAGTAAAATTAAGAGGGTTTGAAAAGTGCTTGAAATGGAAAGAAGGGAGTGAGGGAGAGAGTTGACTGGGTGAAACCTTGACCTGAGATGCCAGACTCATAAAAGACATTGTTTTGTCAATAATGTGATTTTGAGTGAGATGGTGAATTCAGTTGGGGCATACCAGTTTCAGTCTACCTCGTGAACATCCTAGTAGAGACGTCTAGCAGGGAGGTAGGTAGATGGGCTTGGAATCTGAAAGGAGGTCTGGGGCAGGGCTTAGTGTTGAGCATCACCACCATACACGTAGTATTAAAACTGGGAGCAGTCCGATGATGCATAGGTTGAGAAGGAAAGAGCCCACTCCTGACCTCACAGAAGTGTTTTCCAATTCCTTGGTGCCATAAGACACCACAGGGAACAGAGTCCCAAGTGCCAAGAAGAAGAACTAGCTGCGACTCGGGGCTTCTGCTGTCCAAGAGGAACCCAGAACAGCTCACTGTAAGGCTGGGGTGGAGCTGGGCCTGCAGTGTTCACGGTGCACACACGCACAGGCACCGCGTGGACTTAGCGCTGTTCAGAAAAGAGCGAACTTGCCAACTGGATTCTAGTGGACAGAAACGAAAAGAATGAGCTGAGGAAACTGGATTGCCCTAATCTAACCAGTTACTGTAGCTGCCAAATGACCGGTGCATCATTAGATGTGGATGGCATCCTATTTGATTTTTCCATAAAACACTGAAAACAGATGATATTAATATAGGCTATGATGTGTTAAAGGCATTGCTTGAACATTAATAATTATTCTAGAACAAATAATAAATACTACAGGTATGTGAGAGCATAGGCATATTTATAAGAGGAAAATCAGTTTTCTGCAGTTATCTGGAATTGATGTTCATGCTAATGTATGCCAAAAACTTTGTCTCTTTTTCTCCAAATTCTCACTTCCTTCTTTAAACCAAAGCTGGTTTGTAAGGGAAAAATAATGCCTTTTATTTAGTTTCACTCACGAAAATTAACATCTTTTTCTTTCAGTCATTTTGGCAGCAGGGGCCCTCCCTGGGTGGATGGGGAACGGTAGACCTTCAGTAGCTTCCTGAGATTTCCTTTTAGTTTCTGAAAAACAGTTACAATGTTATACTTTCTACTGCAGACAACAGAGATTCCTTCAGGATGCCTGAAGATAGAGTTCGGAAATGGAAAGCTGCCAGGTACAGAGGAGGCTGAGGGAGAGGAGCCCCACATCCCCGCCTCTGACCGCGTGTCCCTCCACAGGGTCCCCTGGCCGCCGTCCCTCTGACTGTCGCTTCCGCTCTGCCGGCCACTCTGCCACCTGGCCTCTTCTGCCCGTTTACCGTTTCTGTGTATGAGCCTGTTCTGAAGTCTTCAGCCTCCCGCAGCTCTCCAGCTCGGCCTCATGACAGCCCTTTAGATTCCTGCCCCGGTCCCATAACGTCTCCTGCTCTTACAGGACCCTTCCGGACAGCGCGGGCGCCCCGTGTGCTCTGGGGGTGCTGGGGGCCTCCCGCGGTGTAAGGCAGCTGACGTTTTCTCTCCGCCGAGGAGCCCCTCACAAGGAATGACACCACACGTCAGGGCCCTTGATTTTACATTAACCCCTAGATCGTATGGTTTGTTAGCGTTTCATGACTTACAGCCGAAATCCCAACCAGTTCCTGAGGACACAGCCGCGCTCTAGGCTGTCTTCAGCCAAGGCGGCCTTTCTGGCTTCCAGGCTTGGTGAGCGAGCAGGCCCGGGGGTGCGGCTCCCTTGGGTGCGGAGGCGCCCTAGTCTGGAGGTGGAGGGTGTCTGTGCTAACGTGGGCAGGTGGGAGGAGGAAAGCGGAAGTGAAGGAAGAAAGAACGAGTCCGAGGGAATCAAAGCAACTTCATACTCAACCAGTGTTCAGATTTCCAAAGGAAATGGAAGGACGTTTGGCAATGAGACAAGTGAGTCATGGTTTTTAGAAGGTGGGTTTTTTGTTGAGCATTTAAAAATCTTTTTTTTTTTTAATTTTCAAGATGATTATAGAGCTTGGGACATTCAGAAAAGTGAACTCTGTAAACCAGAACAAAGTTACCATCCCCGTACCGTGAAATTTGGAAATTCAACTACATTTCAGGATGACTATGTTTCTCAGGAGGTAAAGCCGAGGCAAAGCTTTAAACCTAGCTCTAATGTCAAATCTTCTTCAGCGCCTTTTCACGGCGACACAAGCCATCGCCTCGATTATATACCTCATCAGCGAGAAGTCAAGTTTGCAAGGCCAAAAAAAGTTTACAAGCCACCCAGCCAACCCTTCGAAAGATCTCACAACTCACCGGTATGACTTTCAGGGTCTTGTGGGTGAAACTGCAAAAATCTGCAGGCCGGCAGATACCAGAGTGACCCAAAATGCCCAGTTTGAAGGAAGCATGGAATTCTGTGCAAGTTTTCGGCCGTGGGAAATCCCGCCACCCAAAGTCAAGAAAGTACAGGAGTACGTCCCTCCCGCAGGGGCCATGCCGTCACACAGCACGAGCCATCTTGACTACGTTCCGCATCAGGCCAAGTGTGTCGCTCCAATCAGGCCAGCTTCTCATAGAAGAAATAACCATTTTCCTTTCAAGGAAAAAGCACCATGAAGGAAGATTTTCCAGCATGGGAAAGTTGTTGTCAAGGGCTTATTAAGAATCAGCAGCAGATTCCCAACCCATCTGGAAAATTTGACGGTCTGAGTACATTCAGATCTCACTATGTGCCCCATGAACTGATTCCAACAGAGAGCTGCAAACCTTTAAATGTTCCTTTTAAGAGTTCCATCCCACTTGGTGACGGGACCATGGACCCTGCACCCGAGAAACAGGAAATCTGCCCTGATAGCTACCCTTCTCCTCTGGGTTACATATTTGAAAATACAGATTCCTGAGGTCACAAATTCTTTCAAAAGATTGCCCCCGAGTGGAAGCCTTCTAATCACCAAATCATGTTTAAGAGGAAGCTAAAAGGGTGTTGCTTTCCAAGAGCAAAATCATTTTTCCGTAGTAGAAAACAACTTATGAGAGAGCTAAAATCAGTTTTAAAATCTTTAAAACAAGAAAATAGAAGAATTTCTTGTAGGAAATCAGGATCATGAAATCATCTTGTACAGATATTTTAACCCAGATTGTTCTTTAATATGCAGATCTGAAAGTTGAATGATGTACAATCTAAACTACTGTAATCCCCAACATACTGTTTGGAAGGCTGTCTCCAACCTATTATCATTCATTCTTGTGTTTATAATTGTTATGCACATCCCAGTGACCCTCTGTCGAGCACCGTGGGACTCTGGAACACCACTGAACACGATGCATAGGTTCCTCTCCCAAGACAAGAGCATTCATTCTTGTCAGACATCAAGGCATCTACACAGTGCACACTGAGCCAGGTTTTGGGTGGTGGTGGTAAAGACTTCCCAGCCCCCACTGTGTTCAGGTTGGTCAGAGGCACCGTGGTGAGGCAAGCAAGGCTCCCTGGGCTGGGAGTCAGAGGGTCCCAGTTCCAAGGACAGCAGTGTCTATTTGTGCCGCCTACACAATGACTCATGTTTTTGAGCCTCAGTGTCTTCATTTGTAAAAGAATATCTGCGGTTCCTACCTGACAGAAATTCTGTTTTGAGCATCAGATCATACGCTACATTGTGACCTGTAAAGTAAAAGTGCTAAGGATGTCAGTGAGCGATAAGTCAACCTCTTTTTGTACCTGTTTTCTCCTTTTTCAAATTAAGATAATTGCATACCAAATACTCAGTTTCTGATCTATAGCAAAGATTGTAAAATAATCTGATTTGCTTCAAGTTCAGGAGTAGTCTGAGTTTCTGAGAAGAGTCTTTCTCTAATGGGTCATCAACACCCAAGATGTGGTTACAGAGAAGGGAGAGCTCAGGGGGGGTGGATAACATGGTCTGAATGACAGTATTTCCAGAAAGGAAAAGCATTTGCTAGTCACTTTAGGAATGGCCAGCAGCCCTGGAGAAATCCTCAGGGCGACCTTGAGTGATCTGCACCTAAGCACCATGCCTGCCTCATGGTTCAGAACAGCCAGGCACAGCTGGGGGCCCAATCAGGCCTCTCTGCCCATGGGCAGGGGAGTGCTAAACAGGGGGAAGGAGTGATGCCGCCAGGTGAAGTAGAAGGAACACTGATCTATGAATGTTGGAAATTTCCTAATGAGTTAAACTCTCACTGGGTGTGTTTTTTTTTCCTTTGGTGAATGATTACATTATGGCAGAATATGATTGATTTCATCATAAAGTTTAGTTTTTTGTAGCTTTAAATTGTTTCAGACTATGTACTAAGTTGAGAATAAGTCCATCAACATTTGGTTAAAATGTTTTAATTATTTGAAGTTTTATTTACGTTTGTATTTATTAGTGGAAATTATGTAGAATTTTATGTCTAAGTAATAATAAAGCATCAACAAAGGGAAGGAATTTTTGTAAAGTCATTTCTGTACCTAATTTTCTCTGGAAAAGAGCTTTTAAATAAGTTTTATCTAGGATAATCTGTACACCAGTAGTCTTGTCTTTTTAACAGAAAGCATTGTTATATACTCAAAATGAAAAATTAGGGAATACTCCAACATTCTCATCCTGGCCCATTTTCTAATACTAGATATTCAAATCTCACTCTAATCTAATACGGACAAGAGTCTTCTATAGGAAGCCATGTCCTGGGGTTTCCTGAGCCAGTTGCCTTGGGCTGAGACGCAAAGATGAGTAGCAGTGTCTCCCTACAGCCTAACGCTCACTATCATAGGTGTTCTTGTAGAGACTGGAACAGATGTACCTAGGGCCTTTAGTCTGGGAGTTCAAGAAAGGCTTTCTTAAGAGAGGAATCTTGAAGGTAAGTAGGAACTTGCCAGATTAAGAAAAGTGGGAAGGTGGGAACGGAGAGCAGAGAGGGGTGTGTTATCTCTGTGCAAGAACTATAGAGACTTTCAGACATGGTGCTGAAAAGCTACCAGCCCAATTCATGGCCTCTAGGTCTCCTTGAAATACTTTGCAGGAATGTGCATGTACACACACACACACACACACACACACAAAACACTTTAACAGCATTGGAAACTAGTAATATTATTTAACAGTCTGCCAGATTCTAGGAAGGATTTTCACTAAGCCAGGCTTGTATGAATCTGATGAAGAAAGGAGACAATTCAGAGGAAAGGTAGCAGGGAATTTCTGCCCCACCCCATCCCCACCTCCACCCTCTCCCTACATACACTTGTCATGGGAAATAAGACCACAAGCCCCCAAATCAGAATGCCTCTGTGACTTATAAAAGCTGCAGGACAGCACTAGGAGTGAACCCTGATATAAACTGGACTTGGGGTGGTTATGATGTGTCATGTGGCTTCATTGACTATAAGAGGTACAGGCTGCAATAGCAGGGGAGGCTGGGCATGAGTGGGGCAGGGCTGGAGGGCAACGCTCTGTATTTCCCATTCAGTTTTGCTGTGAATCTGCACCTGCTCTATGAAATAAAAACTGTGAAGAACAAAAACTGCACAGCACGGGGGAAGGGGGGAAGTGTTCACCAGTCAGGCGGGAAGCCCCGTGACCCAGCTTCTCAATATATTGGATTTACAGAGTGTTACATAAAACTGCTGTCTAGGGCCCTTGCTGCAAACCGTGTGCCAGTGGAGGACACAATACAAAGGGCAGAGGAGACCTGTGAGCATGCATCAGAGAAGGGGAAGGTGAACCTCGTCCTCATAAACTAGCAAACTTCAAAAGTCTGTTCCAAATGAATGCTAATAATGTACCTTTGAAAAAATCACAGTGTCCAAGAAAGTGCCAGACATCTCCTGTTTTGTTAAGGTTGAGCTTCTCACTCTGTCCGCCCAATGCTGTTTCACACAGATGTGCAGATTTTCACCCTATGTCAGAGGCAGGACTTCCACCCATGTCACCCGCCCCAGCCTACTCTCAAGCACAGCAGTTTGACCGCTGCTCCCTGGGGTGTCCAGGGATGCATCACCACCACCTCAGTAGCCCCACAGATACCTCTTTATGTGTGGTCAGGATGGAATTATATTGGCTAATGAGGAATGTGGCTAAGAGATGCCTACTGCCAATGAGCATTTAAAAACGCTGAGTCTGGAAGAACAGCGGGAATGGTATCTTCTTCCATTGACAGACTAGTATGTGTGCCTTATACAAACTACTTTCCCTCTCTGAGCCCTGTTTCTTTGTTTTAAACTAGACTTCAAAGGAGGTATATCCACAATATATAAAGAACTTTTTAAAACTCAACAACAGGAAAAAAATGGGTAAGAGCTGAACAGATATTTCATTAAAGAATTCATACAGATGGCATATTCATTTGCTAAGGCTCCTGTAATGGAGCACCACAACCTGGGTGGCTTAACCAACAGAAATTCACTGTTCTGGGTGCTGGAAGTCTGAAACAAGATGTTGGCAGCGTTGGTTTCTTCTGAGGCTGTGAGAGGAAATCTGTTTTGTCCTTCTCTTCTTGAAGGTAAGTAGGAACTTGCCAGATTAAGAAAAGTGGGAAGGTGGGAACAGAGAGCAGAGAAGGGTGTGTTATCTCTGTACAAGAAGTATAGAGACTTTCAGAGATGGTGCTGAAAAGCTACCAGCCCCTGACTCATGGCCTCTAGGTCTCCTTGAAATACTTTGCAGGAATGCACATGTGCACGTGTGTGTGTGTGTATGTGCGCACACACACACACACACACATGCACACACATTCTTACACAACACTTTAACAGCATTGGAAACTAGTAATATTATTTAGCAGTCTGCCAGATTCTAGGAAGGATTTTCACTAAGCCAGGCTTGCATGAATCTGATGAAGAAAGGAGGACAATTCAGAGGAAAGGTGGCAGGAAATTTCTGCCCCAGCCCATCGCCACCTCCACCATCTCCCTGCATACACTTGTCATGGGAAATAAGACCACAGGCCCCCAAATCAGAATGCCTCTGTGACTTACAAAAGCTGCAGGGCAGCACTAGGAGTGAACCCTTATATAGACTGGACTTGGGGTGGCTATGATGTGTCATGTGGCTTCATTGACTGTAATAGATGTACAGGCTGCCAGTAGTGGGGGAGGCTGGGCGTGAGTGGGGCAGGGCTGGAGGGCAACACTCTCTATTTCCCACTCAGTTTTGCTGTGAATCTGCACCTGCTCTATGAAATAAAGACTGTGAAGAACAAAAACCACACAGCAGGGGGAAAGGGGTGAAGTGTTCACCAGTCAGGCGGGAAGCCCCGTGCCCCAGCTTCTCAGTATATCGGATTTACAGAGTGTTACATAAAACTGCTGTCTAGGGCCCTGGCTGCAAGCCACGTGTGAGTGGAGGACGCAATACGAAGGGCAGAGGAGACCTGTGAGTGTGCATCACAGAAGGGGAAGGTGAACCTTGTCCTCATAAACCAGTGAACTTCAAAAGGCTGTTCTAAATGAGTGCTAATAATGTACCTTTGAAGAAATCACAGTGTCCAAGAAAGTGCCAGACATCTCCTGTTTTGTTAAGGCTGAGCTTCTCACTGTCCGCCCAATGCTGTTTCACACAGATGTGCAGATGTTCACCCTACGTCAGAGGCAGGACTTCCACCCATGTCACCCGCCCCAGCCTACTCTCGAGCAAAGCAGTTTAACCGCTGCTCCCTGGGGTGTCCAGGGATGCATTGCCACCACCCCGAGAAGCCCCCCAGACACCTCTTTATGTGTGGTCAGGATGGAATTATATTGGCTCATGAGGAGTGTGGCTAAGAGATGCCTACTGCCAATGAGCATTTAAAGACGCTGAGTCTGGAAGAACAGCGGGAATGGTATCTTCTTCCATTGGCAGACTAGT